TGTGTGTGTGTGTGTGTGTGTGTGTGTGTGTGTGTGTGTGTGTGTGTGTGTGTGTGTGTGGGGTTGGGATCAAATGTCGGATGTATTTTGGTGGTTTATTGTTCTGTGAAATGTTTACATTGTTTATTTGTTGTTTGATTATTGGTTCATTCTTGTTGTACTAATAAAACTTATTATAGAATAACTTGGTTTTGACTACCCTTGTCGCACAATGTTGCCTTGAAGCAAAAACCAATATCTGTTTGGGGGGGGGGAGGGGGGTCAAACTTTGATTGATATATTATTAGGGACGCTAAAGCTCCCCCAAAATACGGTGAAATATTTTTTCCCCCAAAAAATTAGAAAGTCATGCAATAGCCGGTTTTAATAAATCCGTTTAAAAAGTATTTATTATTTATCTACAGTACAAGAAAAAAATGTCACTTTTATTTTCGTTATATATTTTATTTTATTCAAATATTTATTTACGTTCCGCGACTTTATCTCGTAAAACAATGACGTAATCCTTTGTCTTGAACAAAGGGTGTATTTGTTTACGTGCACTGCTTTGTCCGGCGCTGAGGTCTGGTTTCTGTGTGCGGGGTTTGCTGCGGGACGACGCTGATGTTTTGCAGAATTCCGTGACTGTCACAAACTGGGACCTGATCGCTCCTTCAGTGAAATTCAAAGGTTCATTTCTCAGGCTTGAAGCCGTTAGTGAACTGAAGCTGAAATATGACCAGATGATTTAGGACGACTCACAGAGACGCAGATTTTCAGTGTTTTACACTCGAATTGCTCTCCTTTCTCTTTGCCGGCCAGCAGGGCGGGGACTGTCTTCGCATTACAAACAACAGTAACAAGGGTGTGTTTGATTTAATAACTGCTGAGCCCCGGAGGATTGTAGACCAGCGACATCCTGCAGGACCAAAGGGATTGTTTCCCCCTTCTCATTTAATTTAGTTTTGAAGTTTAGATTCAATAAACTTATATAAATGTTTAAATTAAAAGAAAAAAAATGCAGTCTTTATTTAATTATTTCATTTCTCATATATTTCATTTTCAGCTCCCAGTTTAATAAGAAAATTATCTTGAACCGTTTCCTTAATGTCATAACTGGAATTTTCTGTTGCAATTTAAAATTCATCTAATAGTTTTTAGTTCTTATCAAAATTTATACTTTATAAACTTCGTTTTATAATTTTTCAAAAATATATTTTTTAATTTAACTTTGTATCTTAAATATTTCTTGTTTTCTTTATTGAAATAAAATTTTCTTGAATCTGATTTAATATTTTTAAAAGCTTGTGTTTTATATTTTATCTTTTTCTTTTACATTTGTCGGTCATTTGGAACAAATTTAATAACACCTCAATGCACCCTGTCACTTTTGTATACCACGACATATGAATGAATACATCCTTTTGTATTCGTTTATTTTCTATATTTATCTTTATACCTCTATATCTATCTATTTATCTTAATATTTATCCATCAATATCTATTTTTCTACACTAATTTTATTGAAGTGCTTGATGTTTGTTGTATAGTTTCTGCTATGACAGCTCAATTTCCCTCTCGGATTAACAAAGTCTCTGATTCTGATTCATGTTTATTTTTGTTTTACATTTTGTTTTGTTTTAAATTTGTCCACTTTTTCTATTGTTTATTTAAGCTTTTGTTAAACCGTTTGTTTTATTTTATTATTGTTTATTTCGTCTAAAGTTTGGGTATTTTTGTTCAGGCGGACAGGTCCTGCAGGATCACTGAATTCTTCGGTACGTATTTTTCTGTTACACCTCAGCGCTCTCACGCTCGACCTGCGCGTGCCCGCCGTCGCGGTGCCCTGTCCCTTTAAGAGCCTCGTGTTGTTACAGGAAGTGTGAGGGGTGTTTCCAGCTGATCTGAACAACAGGAGGACCGGAGTCTCCCTCAGCAGTCCGACCTGTCTGTGCTTTTTTCGGGCACCTTAGCAAAGCTCGCCGGTCCCGACCTCCGGCGGCTCCTTTGCGCCGCGAAGAGACAGTCGTTCCGGGGTAAATCAGGAGGAGAGCCGGGGGCTTATTCTCGTCCGATAGCCGTGAGCCGGTGCCGTCGGAAGCTGTTAGCTCGGACTGTCATGATCCCAGCTCGGAGATGGCGTCCTTCCCCGGTTTGTGTAAGGCTGTCGGGCCCGCGGAGGAGGAGAACGGGGAGCTGGACGGATCCCTGCAGCAGATGCTGAAGGCCATCGCGGACGAGAGGAGCCGCCTGAACAGCCGACAGGAGATCAGCGGCATCGGTGAGTGTCTGCGGGCTTCTTCGTATCCACACAGGCAGCACCTGAACTCCCGTGAGCAGGGATGAGCCCTCTGACGTGTTTCAGGCTGGCTCTCATTTATCTGTGGGTCTGGTTTACTTTGGAGCAGGGCCGGATCTATCTGCTGAAGGCCCCCGGGGCTGTACTCTGGTGTTGGGACCCCGTGAAGACCCAAACACAGTGCTCTCCTCGCTTTCTAACCCAGCAGATGTTTCCATGTTTAAGCATTGGTGGACATTTCTTTAAACTAAATACAGGTGTGAAACGGTTTTTTAGTTAACCAAAAAAGTCTAAAAATGCACATGCTGTTCAAACAGGGTTCGGGCTTAGAGCCACAGCGCACAGTGGAGTTTTAAAAATACAGTAAATAACTGTCAATGTTAAATAAGAAATTGCAGGTCCTCTAGTGTCCACCAGAGGCTCCAGCAGTGAACAAATGTCCAACTTTACAGCAGAATAAAAGCCCCAAAATATTGGAGTGATTATAAAATAATGATCTGAAGGCAGCTTTGATCAATAAAAATAATAACTGACATAATGTAATGACATTTATGGTTAATTTTCTAAACTCTGAGCTCCACAAAAGTCAGAAATCTGTTTTCTGAGGAGGACCTGAATGTCTCCTGTAATGACATCAGCTGCCGTGGATCCTCCATCTCTATGTTTCTCTTTTTTGCGAGGACTGTGTCGAGTCCTCGTGACTGCCTTGTCGCCCGGTCCTCGTCACGAGCCTCGTTGAAAATAAAAATGAAAGTTGATCTTTGCTCCGGCCTGTGTTTGCCGCCAACATCGTCGGAGCGCCGCTCCGCCTGTTTCTGCTGCTCATTTGTTCTGATGGATAAATCAATGAAGCTCTGTTCACAGCACATGACTTCATCACAGCAGCTTCACTGTCATCACCAGGAGCAGAGCAAATGTCAGACACTGCAGTGCTACCTCTGCTTCGTGTCATCATACAGTCTCGAGCCAGGCCTCATTTCTTTCTTTCTTTTCCACTGTATTAAACTAAATAGAAATCAGAGTTTGTACAAATCTGATGAGCTTGAAAGCTGATCTGTGGTCTGACCACATTATTTCCTCCTGTCATTACAGAGATGAGCCTGGTCTTGGGTCTTTTCAGATTCTGATCATCAGCTGTAGATGGTTTTTAGGCCTCACTCTTCTTCTTTTGTCCTTCACTTGTCCACTTTTCCTTCTTTTAAAATAAATAAAATTATTTTTCTATTTTTTAGGACACACCACGCTGAGATAATCTAGGTCTTCAGCTCTTTGAAAATCACCTTGTTAGTACAAAAATCGTATCGATGTTAACCTGTTTTATCTTTGGCACATTCTCATTTCTTTAACAGAACTAAAGAAATGAAGTGTTTCAGGGATCATCTGGTAATAAAAGACATGATTAAATGATTTGTTGCTCAGGTGGCCATCATGTGCAGTTGCAGCACTGGTTCATCCTTGAATTTGGAGCCTTTTCATGTTTGAATGATTCACAGGTCAGAGTTCAGAGGATTAACAAACACGATCCTATGGAAATGCTCTGGTACGAGGACTGGACTGAAAAGAAGTGAAAAAGCAGCCAGTGTCCAAAGAAGAACTTGTACTGCTGTTTAAGAGCACTTTAAAAATTCACAGAAACTCTTGACTCCTTAAAAGCAAAATATAATGAGTTTTGGCTCAAGACTTCTGCACAGTATGACAAACTAAACATTGGGTCTTCGAGTGTTGATCACATGAAACATCCTCAACTTAAATAATAATGAAACCAGTTGATGCAGTTTGACTCTACGTGTTCCTTAAGGCTGTGGCTTCAACTTCATTATTCATGGTTTTATAATACAGTGGACCGTTTATTAGCTGAACTCAAGGAGAGAAAGTCAGTCTGTGTTAGTTTTATATTTAAGGCCACAAACACAATTATTTAAACTGAGCTAATTTCTAATAGACTCTGGATTAGTTTACAGTGACACAGATCTATTTTTTCTGAATAAGAGCAGGTTTCCAGACTAATCGATCGATAACTTAAATATCGTCTGTGGATACGTCACAGCGTGTGTGTGACACCTGCGGTATCACACACATGCACCCCTGTGGTGTCACACAGGGCAATATTTAACGGTAAAGACTGTACAGCGGGGCTGGAGGTGCTCCTGTTTCTTCATGCAGACTCTGTCGTGTCCTTGGATGCTCCTCTGCAGGCGGCTGGTGGTGACTCAGGTCTGATCCGACAGTGACTCAGGTCTTTGCTCTGATCACAGAATAACTCGGATCAGTCTCTCAGACGCAAAAACCTGGTGATGTCGCTAAAAGCATGGTGAGTATATAAGCTCACACACAGCTGACAATCACGACAGCTGACTCAATAAGGAAACTGAGGTTTTTCACATTAAAAGCCTAAGGGATGTGCTTACAGTTCTGTTTTTGCTCGTTTACACAGTAAGAATTTATTTTATTTTAGCTTTTATGATAAACCATGAGCTGAACATGCTTCAGATATTTCACTTACCAAGCTCTTCACAGGAAATGATAACCAGCTGCCTCCCTCCTCCATGTTGGGGAAATGTCCTCCAGCTCTACTGAGCCATCACTATCAGACCGTGGGCGGAGAGGCTCTCTGGAGAGTCAGCTGAATGAAAACACGGGAGAGGAAGGGGAAAGGCGAGCTGAGTATAGCGGCTGAACTTTCAAAATAAGAGCGTAAATCCATTGCAGCTAGCATAGCTCTTGGGGCAAAGCTCCACCTGGGCAGTCCACACAGGTGAGGTCTGTGTGTGGTGACAAGTGGCATGATGTCAGCTCCGGCAGCACCTCTGCTAGGTTAATGAGCAGCTCAGAACTCTGGGTGTGACTATGATTCTGCATCCACACCTGAATAAACACAGCTGCTGAAAGTTTAATAGAAAATAGAAAAACATGGAGGGCGATTAGACCGCCTCGGTGCTTGTTATCGGTTGGTGGCGGCTCGTATAATTTGAATAGGAGCTCTTATTTGAGAATTCACGGTCTGAACTATAAATACTCGCTGAGGCAGTGAAGCGGCAGCCAGGCGAGGCAGAGAGATGAACATGAATGATTTAGCTTTAATTACCTCCTGCTGTAAATACTCTGACATCAGCGCAGCTTTCACGCTGACGCTAACGGAGAGAGCGTCCATCGATCGTCTGAGATCTGCTCTTCAGGAACTGTGGTGCAGAGTTACCGCCGATCTGACCGTGACTCGCTCTCTGCTGACAAATTATTACAAATCCTGCTAAATATTTAATGAGGCCACAGTCCGAGTCCGGGCAGAGGTGGTTGAAGTGCTCCAGTTTGTGTCTACGTGCACATATGGTCAGGACGTCACAGCAGCTCCAAGCTGTGCACAGTCTGTCTGTGGAGTGGACTGTTGGAGCCAGACTGTAAAGGTTTAATGTACAGGACCAGTTGTTACCGTCTATTTCCTTTAATAAGCGAATGCAAACATCTCAGTGCTGCGTTTATTTAGCCGATTGGTTTTTAGCTTTAATTTATGTAAGGCTGTAAACTTTGAACTTCTAGACAAAGGTTTTTGTAATTTGTTTAACAAAAAGTAAAATCAGACCTGTTTGGATCATTTTCAGAGTAGCTTTGCATGATTCACAGTTTAAAATAATCCTGTATTTATTCCCGAGCCTTGCTTTAAAACTGTATTTCCCAGATCGTTGGTGAGTGGTTGCTTGAGGTCACTGGCTGGTTTCAGCGAGGGTGACAGCAAAACAAACCTCCCTGTGGCTGCTTTGGTCAGTAGAAGATTGCTGCGGTCTCGTGTAGCTGGAGTTTCACTCAGTGTGTCTGCAAACACAAGTGTGACACTGGAAATGTTCCTTACCACTGTGACTTTAGTGACCCTCAGTGCGCTCAGAAAGAACATGTTGATTATATTTAAAGCACAGTCTGTGTAACCTTTTAATTTAATATTCCAAATATTTCCTCCCAGCTTTGGGTTTGCCTCCAATGTTGGAGAGGAAGCTAAGCTTAGCTGTGTTGGCTTCATCACGTCAAAGTCAGCTTTGTGGTCGTCATACTGATGCTCAGCTGGATGGTACGCCAACGCTCTCTCAGCTGCCGTACAACATCTGTGACATGCAGATTGTATCAGAGCAGAATGAGCGCTGGCCAGTCAAAGGTTGTAGGTGTGAGTATTTGCATTTTTCTTTAAGTACATTGGAGCTTAATTACGAAGCACTTTCAGACGTTTGGCCTCAGTGGCTCAGACGTTGCAGAGAGTCTCGCTGGTTCATTCGGCGCTGGTGCGTGCACTTTGTTCATCCTTTCATCCAGGTCACTGGAGCTTCGAAAGCACATCACACAGGATTATATAACTGTCATGAAAAATGCAGCAGGCCTACCACGGCTCATGATATTTCTACCCACTGCTGCAGAGAGATTTGGGGTGATTCAGCTCACTTTCCTCAGATGATGAGTGATAGTGCGCCGGGCTTCATAACACAGTTGATGTATTTTTAAAATGGCATATGCAGCTATAAATAGAGCTGGACTTTTATCAACGTCCCAGAGGCTCCTGCAGAACTGTACTCTGCTTCAGTCAGCTGTGAGCCTTTAACACCTTTAAACAACACTCTGAAGCCCAGGTGACATTATAACAAGATACAACAAGATACCTGGGTGAGTTTAAACTAAATGACACTGTTCAGCACATCAAGGCTGACTCATCCTCGACTCAAATCAGAATACATTTCCTTGAATTCATACATTACAGTGAGCCTTCACGGGATGATTTTGTTTTTTACTGTTCTCTGGTTCATGACGTCATCATCTTCACCTTCGTTGCAGTGTGAAGCTGTGATTTCAGGGATCTGCAAGTGGGGTTATGTCACACTCAGACATGGTCACAGTTTCTGTCATAAAATCTTTTCATGAAAGACTCGATCTAATCGATTATGCGGAGTGCTTAGTATGACATGCGTGGTAGCTAGTGATTTTCATGATCATGTCAGCAGAAGTGGTTCATATGGGACTCAGCAGGGTCATCGGCATATGTCATGAGAAGTTGTTGAAGACCCCAAAAAGTTTGAACATGCTGGTTTTCAGTCAGGATGATGTAAGGCAGCGCTGGTTTTCTTTCATTCATGTATATATATTTTTTTAATTTAATCTTGATTTATACAGGTATTCCCATTGAGACACAATATCTCATTTACAGGAGAAACCTTTTTTGGACAAACAATTATCACACCAAGGGGAAAAATCAACTTTTTAGTGGGATTTAAAGAGAGCTGGGGGCTCTCTGGGTAAGTTTGGCCATTCTTTGGGTGGTTGGAGTGGTAATAGAGGTCCTTAACATCCATTAGGTCGTTTACGTTGTCATCAGGAGAAACTGAAACATGCTAGTCTTTTAGTGGCATGTTATGTGGTGTCGCAGCATTGGTCTTCTAAAACATTTAGTGGTCATTATCATTCCTGATCTGAACCATTGGTTCAGTCTTCTGCATCTGACCATAACTAGGCTGATCTCGTATATCCTGAACCTGCCGTGGTTAGTTCCTTTAGGAGGTTTTAGTAAGATTTCAAGACAATTGTAGTCAAACTTTTGTTGGTTCCAGCGGCAAGAAAGAAGGTTTGAGTTGCCATTAGGGAGGTTTGAAGAATCCTTTGGCTCTAATTATAAATGCGATTCAATAGGTAGTTTTAGGAGTTCTAGAGAAAATGTAGGTGCTTCCTTTAGGTCTATATGTGGTTCAAGTTCTCTTGTAGGAGGCCTTTGGTATAGTTTAGGTCAGGGGTGTCGAACTCCAGGCCTCGAGGGCTGGTGTCCCGCAGGTTTTAGATATCACCCCGTTTCAACACACCTGAATCAAATTATTAGTTCATTACCAGGCTTCTGGAGAACTTCAAGACATGTTGAGGTGATAATTTAGCCATTTAAATCAGCTGTGTTGGATCAAGGACACGTCTAAAACATGCAGGACACCGGCCCTCGAGGCCTGGAGTTTGACACCTGTGGTTTAGGTATTGTTGGAGTCAGTACGAGGTTGTATGGAGCCTTTATTGGTCTCTGTTCAGGTTTTCAGTGGTTCAGGGTTTGCTCTCTCAGATGATTTTTTTTTTTTTTTTTTTTTTTGTTTTAGGAACCTTTCGGATTTCTAGAGTTATCCCAAACACAGTCGTCTGGGCTCCAGAGTTTCACAGCGAATACTCTGAGGATATTTAAGGATATTGGTAAACAGCTACACCTCTGGCATGATAGGTGGATCTTAAATGCAAAATCTGGGCTGTTTGGTGTTCACATGTGATTAAAACAACAGCCAACAACACAAGGTGTGGCAACAGTTGACGCTGTACCATCATCAAAACCCTGGAAGAATGTGGTTTGTCCTTCCTGCAGAGCTGCCGTTTTAAAGTACCAGAAATTAAAGGACTGATGATCAAGTATGAGATGCTGAGGTTTAATAAACTATGCTGGCTGTGAGGCGTGGTTTAAAGTTACTGAGTCATTATTCTGACTGTATAGTTACCTGATATTGGAGCCTGAGTTAAGGATTTCTTTTGGCTGGTTCAGTGCTTCCTGTTGCTCTTTGGAGCTTCTTCTGCTTGGGTTGCCAGCAGGTCGTGTTCACTGACTCACCCCCCGTCTGGGGAAAACATCCCTCATGCCAAGTGTGACTGGATGAAGGCCAGAGGTCACTCCCTTTCTACAGCCAGCGGCTCTGCCTGGCTGCTGCCTTAGCTCGGAGGTGTTGACTTGTGTGAAATGTGAACAGCTTTAAGCAGCAGCCTAAACATTAATTCACACACTTGAGTTTCAGCTGTAAACTCTGAATAATGACTGCTGACATCGGGTACTAACACCACAGAGGAAGTCTTAGTCCTTTTATAGGAGCGCAGAGTTAAACATGAGTAATTCGGAGAGGCTAGACAACAAGACCACAAACACCCATCTTGGGGTGCTTGTCATCAGAGAAGCTTAATTACTTCTGCAGTAATGGCCTGTATTTATATAGCGCTTTACTAGTCCCTAAGCACCCCACATATCCAGTCATCCACCCATTCACACACACATTCATACACTGGTGATGGCAGCTACATTGTAGTCACAGCCACCCTGGGGCGCACTGACAGAGGCGAGGCTGCCGGACACTGGCGCCACCGGGCCCTCTGACCACCACCAGTAGGCAACAGGTGAAGTGTCTTGCCCAAGGACACAACGACCGAGACTCTCCAAGTCGGGGCTCGAACCGGCAACCTTCCGATAACAAGGCAAACTCCCAACTCTTGAGCCACGATCGCCGTAATGTCAGTTCTTTATGAGATGTTTATTTATGAGAAGTACCATTTTTTTTTTAAAAAAAATAAAAAAAATTGTATTTACCTACCAGAACCAGTGATAAGTATTCATTTATTTCCATTATTTGCAGGTTCATTCAGACTCGTCCTCTCAGTCACTCTAAATTAAACCCATAAGAAGTGTTTGTACAATTACTCTGGTTTCATCTTCATCTCAAATTAAATTAAAGCCTGAACAAATCAAAGCAAACGAAGTTTATCCTCCTGGACTGACATAGAGTTAAACTAATTCATTTAATATCTGTGAAATTTAATGAAATGCCAATACACCATCATGGAAGGGCTTTATACCCACATCATGTGGTTTGGTTACTCCTCGTCATGCTGTGTCTCCTTTAACTTTGTACTGATCTTAGAATATTTAGAATTCGATTTTAATTTTAATTGGATATACAGCAAAAGAAAATAAAAGGCTACTTATAAAATCTAGAAACAGAATAAAATCTTAAAGTCTGATCTGATCTTTAGAGAGGGGGACTTTTTAAACAGATGGGAGGTAAAATAGACAATATAGATATATTTATAGCAGAAGGTAATTAAACATTAAACAGGCTAAAAAAATAACTGTGGACAGCCGTGTTAAAACTTTTACAGCAGAAATAAAGATGTAAACATCTTTATTTCTGATGCACAAACTGTTTTGGTTTCTAGAGAGAAGTTCCAGCTTCACAACAACTTTTGCCAAGGAATAAAGAGGAAGTAAAAGAGAGGAATAGTAAGAAAACTGTCACTATTTGCAGATGACAGTGTTATTTATTAGAAAAGAGGAAGATTGTAACTGTTTATCTGAGACTGTAATATCAGGAGTCAGAGACAAATATAACTTGTATTAGGGCTTAAAGTTTGCATGATTAGGGGCGTGGCCTCTTTAACTGACTGGGTGGATGGTGACACCGATGGCTGGAGCTGCTAGCTGTCTGCTAGGCTCCACCTCAGCTAATTGGAGTCACTGAACTGGCCCTCTGGATCATGTTTGTGCTGTTGGAGCCTCAAGGATCTCAAAACTGGATTATAGATGGCAGACAGTTGGTGTCATAACCCACCGCCTCTGTTCAAAGATTGTCGTTCACAATGTACATAGATGGCTTCTTTCACTCATCTTTCAAACCATCTGTACTCTGTCCAAGATGTGAACATTGGCATCCTCGAAAGAGTGACCTTTGTCGTTTAGATGCAGATGGACAGCCATGTCTTGTCTCGTCGAGTTGGCTCTTCTATGTTGTGTCATGTATTTGTGAAGTGGCTGTTTGGTCTCTCCAATGTAGAGGTCTGGGCATTCCTTGCTACACTGTACAGCATGCTCTACGTTGCTAAGTTTGTGTTTAGGAGTTTTGTCTTTGGGATGAGTCAGTTTTTGTCTGAGTGTGTAGCTGGGTCTGAAGTACACTGGGATGTGATGCTTGAAGAAGACTCTTGAGTTTTTCTGATAAACCGGCAACATAGGGGATAACAATGTTGTTGAGTTTGTCTTTCTGATCCTCCCTAGATGGCGTCTCATCTTCTTTTCTGCGCTTCTGGTGTCAGAAATAACTTCTGACACCAAAACACAAAACGTTAGCAGCTAAAATGCAAACGCCGAGGCTTCTAAATGTGGCGTGGTGTCACAGTGGCTTTGTGGTCCACAAAGAGTCCAACTCAACAAGAGCCAATCACAGACAGGAACACACACACACAGCTCAGCATCGATGTGTTTAATTTAAAACATGTTAAACTGTGTGAGGAATCAAAGTTCACCAGTTTTCTTTAATTAAATCAAAATTAGCAAAAACTCTAATGAGCGTGAATCTTAATTGGCTCCGGTTCAGCCGTCTGACCCGCTGACCTTCTCCTGCTGCTCTCCAGGTTTATCTGCAAGAGAAGCTCTCGCAGGAAGTTTAATTCAATGCAGAGTCATTCTCTGGCAACTGCCTGACAACTGTTGCTAAGCAACAAGGCAGGTGCCTCCGGCCTGTAAAAAGGTAGCAAAGAACCCGGGGTGACGGAGGACAGGGGGTCGATACCGAGTGAAACACAGAGCGTCAGTATGAAATCGATTGGTGTCTGTATCCTCTCACACTCGGCCCTGTTTGATCCTTCAAAATAAAAGCGTGTGTAGTAATCCAGCAGCCTGTGAATAATGCATGAGCTGATTTTATTGGTCATAAGGAAGAAATAACTGTGGATCTGAACAAAAGCTGGAGCTGAATAATGGAATAATAGATTTTAGAGACAGAGTGTGAACAAAGCACACTTCCTCTGAGCTGCTTTCAGACATTAAACACTCACTGACACCATATTCACAGGGAAAGGCCTTTGAAACGTTTAAGTCCAGGTTTAGTGTCAGTGCTCGGGTTTTTGAAGCCCGTCTGAATGAAAAAGGTTATTTTAATATTTAATTTTTGTGGAACAGTTTCAGATTTCGTGATGTCACAGTTGTAGTTAAAGCTTTTATTGAAGTGCAGACCTTGAACCTGGATGTTTGGTTAATTAATCAGCTGATTGCTTCCCGTGGCTGCAGGTTGGTTTAAACCTCTGAGGAGCACTGCTGTCCTAAATACCACTTGTGTGCTGCTTGACATCAGCAGCTGCTGGATTCTGTCCATAGATCAGTAAGATCAGTGCTGATGTTGGATTAAAAATGACTGAACTGTCACGGCTGTCTGTTATGTTCCTCGATATGAGTAAATAAATGCTCATGCATGTATTTTTGCTGAAGGAACTCTTGTTGCCGAATAGTTTCTTCCCTTTTTCTGTTTTTGTTCCTCTGAAAGGCCAAAATTTATAAAGAAGCTTGAACTGAGGCCAGATTTCGTTAGCAGTTGAAGAACAAATATTTTTTCCTCGAGCAGCCGATCACTCTGTAAGTGTAAGGTAGGAATCACTGGACGTGTTTCAGGCTTCTCTAGTCTCGCCTTTCCTTCGTTTTAAACGCTGTGATGTCACACAGCACCAAAATGTATTCATTTATTTAGTTATTCAACGTTTGAAACATCTGTCATGTCACAGTTGGTGACAGCTGTTAGCCAATTAGATAATGCTATGCAAATATCATGAGAGAGCAATATGTGCATGAAATAAACTGTCGGCTTTTTTCTAACTGCCGGACTCGGACCGTAAGTGGAGAAAAATGGTGTATGTACAGTACTTGACTACACACTGCAGCTCTTAACAGTCAGGAACACCCACAACAGTAAGGAACGTGAATCCTGTCAAAGTGGTTTTTGTTGGGCAGTCACACATATGTCAAGTACTTTTACTGTGAAAGGAAAGAACAGGAAGATGCCCATTCCATACATGTGTACAACAAAGCAACAAGAAAAGTAAAGGATGGACGTAGCTTCTAGGTCTTAAATCTGCATTCTGCACCAGGGGCAACGATTGCCTAAAGGCGTCTGGTCCCATAAACGTTGATGGGAAAACACGTAAACACCCTCCTCATGAGTCGCGATAGTTTCAGTAACATTGAATAAAACATGGAGTTAATTGAGTAAAACTTGGTCATTAATGGCGTCGGGACGATTATGTGGTGTGCGCCAGCGAGCATGCTCGGACAGTCATGTCTAATCCATCCCAGTCATTTACTCAGAAATCGTTCCACAGACTGTTTAAAAATCTGCATGAAGCTGCTTTAAACTGAATTCTCGTGCTGACTTGTTGTTTTGACCTCGTGTTTCTTGTCTCTACAGGCTGTTTTAAAGATGACCGCATCGTTTTCTGGACCTGGATGTTTTCCACGTACTTTATGGAGAAGTGGGCGCCGCGACAGGACGACATGCTGTTCTACGTCCGCCGGAAGCTCTCCTACGTCAGCGCCGACAACAGCGAGGGCAAGAAGGTGACATGACACTTGATGTAAAGAGTCATCATCGCTCATGTTTCAGACATTTGCAGAGCACCAGCAGAGCCTGACGGCCAGGATTTCAAAATAAAAGGTTTCAGAGAAACGTGAATGAGGCGGTGAGACATGATGGATGTGAGGCTGCATTTGTGTCTCTGTTGGTGAATAATAGATGGCTTGCTGGTCTGGATGTGGAGCAGCATTAAAATAAACCATGTTCAGGCTCCCTGTGAGCTGCAGTGGTTGTGTAACGTTGGTGTTCATGTGAGGATCATTCAGAGGGAGGCTTTGACCCACCATCGCTCCCTTGCCCTGAGCTTTCCTACTACTTTTATTGTGAAAATGCAGAGTTTTTCAGACCCTTTCCTGCGTCTCCTTTATTTATTTGTAGTTTTTTGTATTTTTACCTTCGGTGAACCTGACCTGTGAGTTTTTGGCCCATTAAATGACATATTGCAAATTTTGGATGTGGTTTTGATAGTTTGTCCACCACAGGAGCAGAATATGTGACAGAAAAAAGGAAAATCAGAGAACTAAACTTTAACCACTGAGACGTTGGCTCGGTTATCCAAAGCACCGACCCAGAGTGGTTGCATCTTTCCCACAATCAACCCTGAAAAGACCCTAGAGGACTTCCTGCTCTCTGAGGTGCTCACACTTTCCTCCGTGGCTCTGGCCAGATCTGATGATTAGATTTATCTGAGTCTGCAGCAGAGCGGCTTCGCCCGCAGGTGGACAGTGTGGTTCATTTTTACTGCAGCGTCCGTGGCTGTCAGTCAGACTAACAGCAGATCAGACGATACAGACAGCAGACGCCATAACAGCCGGCGAGATGATCGGCAGCGACAGCAGCCATCAGCTTCCCATCACTCTGTCCTCTGAAGAATGCAGCTTCAGTCACAGGAACAGAACCTGAAACAGAGCAGATCAGAAAAACGATGGAACCAGCTGATGAGACAGAAGCATTAGTCTCAGTAACTGAAATTAATCTGAGGTTAACTTATTATCATTTTAGTTTTTGTCTTTGTGATCAAACGTTTAAACCTGCAGATTTCTCATCATGCCCTAAATCTCAGCCTCGTCCTGCTCTTCATCTCTGGTCGTCATAATTATATTTTATAAGCTCAGGCTCTGTTCGTCCTTCATCCCCCTGCTGTGTCCAGGTCTCTGCTTCCTGTCCCAGAGCAGAAACAGCTCTGGGAACCTTTCTCCTTCACATTTGTAATGTTTCCAGGGAAAACTTATTTAAGCTCAGGAACTTTTTTCCAGCATTTGTAAGTTTAACCAGCTGTGAGCATCAATGCGAGTGTGAACAACCTGCAGCAGACACCAGCTCCTCTGCTTCTGATCATTCAAAAAGTGCATTCCAGATGATCTTTCAGCTGGCATCAGTGTGTGTGACGTGTGATTTGACCTTTGGAGGATTTGCGGGTTTTGGTTCTTCTTCATTGGTTTCATGTTCTCTGATGGACGCCTGGAGCTTCAATCGCTTTAACCCTTGGAGTTTGCGTGATGTCAGACTGAACATCTGGACCAGAAATGGTTCATGACATCAAACTGAAGAAGCTGCACCTGGTTTAAGATGTGAAATCAAAATGGCAGCTGCCGTAAAGCGGGTCATGCTGCTGTGACGTGTTTGCTTCATCGTTCAGGTCAGAAAATGTTCATGAAGTTTGCATTGCTGTGAAATCAGGATCATAATCTCCTGCAACACACACACACACACACACACACACACACACACACACACAATGGAAAACTAGAGTCATTTGACCTGAAATGAGCTTCGTGTTTTTGCTGAATCAGCGTCACTTTTTCAGTTTCAGTTCTTCAAAGCAGGAGGATCTGAGGCCACATAAAAACCACACACACACACACAAGCGCTTCACAGGGAAACCATGACGACCGCTCCTACGCTCTAAATGGTTTCTGAGTGATATGAAGGCTGGCTTGTGGAAAACTTGTATTTCCCTCAAGACCAGACAAATTCACCAAGTGGGCAAGGAAACGGTGGAGGAAGGAAGGAAGTATGTGTATAGGCGGGATGGATGGGGAAAAAGAGGAAGTAGGAGAGGGAATCTGGGAGGAAGTAAGGTTGAAGGAGTTGAGTGATGGTAAGTGTGTTCAGACGTGGTGCTGATGGAGGCTTTGTGCTGTGTTTCAGGTGGAGGTGGAGGTCTACAGGAGAGACTCCAAGAAGCTTCCGGGTCTTGGTGACCCCGACATCGACTGGGAGGAGAGCGTCTACCTGAACCTCATCCTTCAGAAGGTGCAGAGCAGTAAAGTTTAAAAAAAGAATCTTTTAAACTGTTTTTTGTTGTCCTCACTAACCTGAATCCTGCACCCTCTTCCAGCTGGACTATGTGGTGACGTGCGCCGTCTGCACGCGCTCAGACGCAGGAGATATCCACATCCACAAGAAGAAATGTCAGGTAGGCGCTCTGCAACAGCTCGAGCTGATGAAGCCACCAACCTTCTCTCATCCCACCCGTGATTTGTCTCATTTTATTTCCCCTCCTGTGCTCACAGGAAGTGTTCGCATCTCCGAGTAAACATGCCATGGACAGCAAAGGGGAGGAGTCCAAGATGAGCTACCCCAACATCTTCTTCATGATCGACAACTTTGAGGAGGTAAAAGGATGTTTTGAGCTCGTGCAGAGCTTCTGTGGTGAAACGTCTCTGAGCTCACAGTGCTATCACACTGAGGAGGGGAGGTGGGGGAGGAGTGAGGGCGGTGACTGCGCAGATTAGTTGATGAAGCGTGACTAAAAGCTCTCGGCCCATTTAAAAACGAGCTTGTGCACAAGCGCAGCGTTTTTACCGCCACAAGCAGCAGAGTTCGCGCTGGGACAGAAACCGATGATCCTCCAAGGCAAGGGAAACGCTGCTGACCACAGTCACGAGTCGATGTTTCTGCTGCTGCACAGAAAGACACGGGACATTTGCAGGTGAAGTCATGTGACCTTCTGTTTGTGCAGGTGTTCAGTGACATGACGGTGGGTGAGGGCGAGATGGTGTGCGTGGAGCTGGTGGCGAGCGACAAGAGCAACACCTTCCAGGGCGTCATCTTCCAGGGCTCGATCCGCTACGAGGCGCTCAAGAAGGTCTACGACAACCGGGTTAGAGACCAGAGCGTACACCTGCACACATGAACACCTGCACACATGAACACCTGCACACATGAACAC